TGTTGTTGTTGTTGTTGTTGTTGTTGTTGTTGTTGTTGTTGTTGTTGTTGTTGTTGACGTCGTCGTCGTCGTCGTCGTCGTCGTGTCGTCACTCTTTGTTAAAGAAATCGGGTCTCTTTTGTCAGAGTTTCTTTATTGTCATTCACACCTCATGTGGTACATGTGGTGGAACGAAATTATGTACACAGGGTCCCAGTTACATCCAACAATAAAATGTATAAGAAAAACAGTAATAACATCTAAGATATGAACTAAGAAAAACATCAACTAAATATACACTAAGCACTCATAACATAAAACATTGAACATCAGCACAAACATGAGTAAATGTAAATGAGTAAACATGAGTCATTTACTCATTGTAAATGAGTCCCCGAGGCTCAGTGGGATTAACCTGTAGAAATAAAGGTTGAATGGGGACAAAAAGAAACAAAACGTCATGGTCAGGACCTTTGACCACACCTGGTGGTGATCAGGATCTCTGAACTCCTCCCATGCCCAAGTTTTTGCCTCAGCAACCACCCCAGCCACATGTCGCTTGGACTGCCGGTACCCACCAGCTGCTTCCGGGGTCCCACAGGCCAAAAAGGCCCAATAGGACTCCTTCTTCAGCCTGACAGCATCCCTCACCGCCGGTGTCCACCACCGGGTTCGAGGGTTGCCACCACAACAGGCACCGACAACGTTGCGGCCGCAGCTCCGGTAAGGCGCCTCGACAATAGAGGCATGGAACATGGCCCACTCGGATTCAATGTACCCCATCTCACCCCGGAACATGTTTAAAGTTCTCTCGGAGGTGGGAGTTAAAGCTCCGTCTCACAGGAGACTCTGCCAGACGTTCCCAGCAAGCCCTCACAACATGTTTGGGCCTGCCAGGTCTGACCGGCATCCTCCCCCACCTTTGGAGCCAACTCACCACCAGGTAGTGATCAGTGGACAGCTCCACCCCTCTCTTCACCCGAGTGTCCAAGACGTGGCTGCAGATAAGATGAGACGATGACAAAGTCGATCATCGAACTGCGGCTTAGGGTGTCCTGATGCCAAGAACACATATGGACACACTTATGCTTGAACAAGGTGTTTGTTATTGACAATCCATGACAAGCACAGAAATCCAACAACAGAACACCATTCGGGTTCAGATCAGGGGTGCCGTTCCTCCCAACCACACCCCTCCAGGTCTCACTGTCATTGCCCACGTGAGCATTGAAGTCCCCCAGCAGAACAAGGGACTCCCCAGGAAGTGCACTTTCCAGTACCCCCTCTAAGAACTCCAAAAAAGGTGGATAATCTGAACTGCCGTTTGGTGCATAAGCACAAACAACAGTCAGAACCTATCCCCCCACACGTAGGCCGAGGGAGGCCACCCTCTCATTCACCGGGGTGAACCCCAACACACAGGCACCAAGATCGGGGGCAATAAGTATG